CGCAATTGTATAATTGGGCAAAAAGGGCGCGTCCGTTGCGCAAATCCGCCTTCAAGTCTCAAGTCTCGAGTCTCGAGTCTCAAGTCTGAAGTCTCAAGCGGCCGCCGTTTGCCATCGAAGACGATTAACAAAATCACAGCAGCAACAACAACATCAACCGAAAACAGAAAATACAAAAAAAAAAAGCTGGTCAAGGTCGCCATGCCGTTGCCTTACGGGCCCTCCGTGCGTATACTTGATGGGCAACAGGCGCATGCACAGTTAGGCATTCGCTTAACGCCTTCAATAACTCAAGTAATTGTTCGCTTATAAGAGTTTGCTGTTGAGCTTAAAATAGCTACAAAATGAAGAAAAAAAAACGGTATATATGTATGCACATACATATATATGAATTCAATTCGTAAATTTCGTAATCGACTGCCCAGCGACAGTAACAGCAACAGCCGCAGCAACAGCCGCAGCCACAGCCTCAGCTTTAGCTTCAGCTCCGCCCCATTCCTTTGCCCTGCTCCCTTTACAGTCTGCCAATTACATAAGAGCGCGCGTACACTGACCTCTTGTTGTTATGCCCATAATACACTTTGCTAATGATATTACGCTTTTCTTATGAAGCGCACAGATGAGCGAGCCCATAGTAGTCCAGTTCTATGGTGCAAAGGTAGTCAAGCGTAGACTGACTAGGAGATACCCTGACCTTGGAGCAAACGGGTATGCCCATCATGTTGGCCATCATCATGAGAGATAACTTCGAATTTCTAGAATAGTAGAGAATTCTCAAATGTGTGCTTATAATTTATAAAGAAATTGCCACGCTGCTTGTCAATTTTCTGAATATCTTCTGTATTACTAAACCGATTTCAATGAAATTTTCAGCAGGTGATCTTCACGACAAGTGAAATCATTGTCAATTTTGGTAAATCTGATATGTCCATAACTTATTGATTATATTTGCAAGTGAACTTCAATTTATAGAATTTTGGAAAATAAAAATAAAAATAGAAATACAATTATATGAAGACCACATGACACTGAATGCAACAATATATAATAGCAATAATAGATGTAAAAGTTTTCTGTATTTCAAACAAACTTGTTCTCAAACTAAGCAACACTCTTGTGTATTAGGGTATTTAAATTTCGGCATGCCAAACTTTTGTGTTTTGTTTTCATTTCTTGCTTTCAGCACGTTTATTGTACATGGTATATGAGAAAAAAATTATATATATATATATATATATATATATATATATATATATATACATGTATGTATATACCTTAACAAATGTATATAATTTATTAATAATTGCCTTTTAGTTTCGGGCAACGGAAATGTGTGTTTGGGCCAGCCCTTTAATTAGTATTCATTCCTAGGCCCAGTCCTGGTGCAGCACTTCCAGGCTCTCCAGCCTCGAGCAGAGCACACTTCCGTTAGAGCATCTGGGCGCACCTGAGTGCTGGGTGCTGGGGGCGAGTGCGTGCCACACAGATTGTGGCAGGCTGTGACTGTGTCTATGGGCATGCCGCTAGCAATAAATGCTTAATAAATAAATAAGTTAATGCAGTTGCTGGGAACGAATGGGCCATTTTAATGTCAACCGGAACGGCTTGCTGTGCGGCAGATGGTGCGGGGCAGAGGCGAGGGGACGGGTGCCATTTATACAAGTGGAGCATTATGCATGTTTATTTGAATTTGAATTGCTTGGGAATTCGCACAGCTGCCTCAGGTAAGAAAAACAAAAATACGAAAACTGGGTCGCTCTTGAGCCAAGGACTGCGATCTTCCTGAACGTCTCTCTTTCCCCATCTCCCTCTCTCTCGCCCTGTCTGTCTGACGTGGCATCTATACTGCAGGTGCTTCAAGTGCTTGCTGGCCGTGATCTGATTACAATTCCAAGAAGGTTTCATCAGCGTGCAGCTGGGCGTCGTATCGCAGCGAAAACAAATACTAGATAATTCCCATTGCTGACGTCGCGTCGTGCGCCTTTGTCTTCGGCCCCCACGCCCCCCGCGCACGCCCCTCGCTTAGTGCCACGCACAGCCTCTGTTTGTTTGCATGCTGTGGCTGTACTCATTACGTGTAATAACTGTGGTAATTGTCACGTAGCCCCGGCCAACGACAACAACAACACCAACAACCACAACAACGGCATGGCAGAACGGCTAAGGACACTTGGCCAGCTGACGTCAGCTGGAGCGCGCGCGCGCTCCACTCTGATTGCGGGGGAGGGGGGGGGGGGCCTCGCAGCAAATGGGCCCATTGCAATTGTGACAAATCGAGGGACGAATGTGCTAATGGAATACACCACGATTCGACAGCGGCAGCTGCCATTCATGGCCCCAAGCATGGCCCCAAGCAGGCCCTGGCCTATTAATAAACAGCAAAACACAAACAGAAACGCACACAAGGGTACGCTTCTAGCTGTTTCCATCAGCAAACAATCAGCTTTTATCGAGTGCCCCAAATATGATCGCCCACAAAGGATATTGCACGACGCGGCCCCATCTATTTATTGCATATGCCTATGTATCAAGTGGAGCGGAAGCTGCTCGAAATGTCTCCATCTGGCTATATCTAGAGCAATCGAGCGAGCGGAGAACATAAATTCATGAGAATTGCATAGAAGAGACGTGCATAGCCAATGAGTAGGCCCATAGTTCTATGCGATTCTCATAAAAATATGATTTTAATTTATCTATGGGCATAGAAACTAAACAAGTTGAGGGTGTGTGTGTGTGTGTGTTTTATAATATAGATCCCATGTCTCTCATGACATCCTCATACAACTATCGATAATCTATATAATCTATACATATTATGATACACAATACATATACATATGTTGTTTATATAGATCCCTTGAAAAACTATCATATATATGTCATGTCCCAGGAAGAACTTATATAAGCTATCTGTCTTATATAGTATATATCAACAAAAATCTGAAAGCCATATATTTTACATATTATTACTAATGAGCATAATCAAAATCCTTTGATATACAACTTTGCAGAATACTTGGGGGCGTGGCAGATATGGATTAAATATAAGTTTTATGCTATATATATATACATGTGCATATACTAGCTCAGATGACATTATATATTACCAGGAATCCTCATTTGCAAAATTATCTATCATGTCTTATCGATAAATCATTTCATTTGCACACATACAAATCGATATAAATCCATATTTCATCATAATGAATAAACGAAATTTGTAATGCCATTTCGAATCGAGCTATTCATTATCATTCATTGTGTTTCATAAAAATCCACAGTCGCACATTCCAGTTCCCATTGACACATCCATATACACATCGCTGACTCTTCCTCTCCCTCTCTCTCTCTCTCTCTCTTGCCCTCTATGCGATTCTCATTAGCTTAAGTAAGCCAAGCCATGTCTTTTGCCACGTAATTGCATTGGCCATACCAAAAATATTTGCAGTTACTTTCAGTCTAATAAACAGTAATTGGAAGAACATATTCCCATTGTTGGGCAATGGAAAACAAATCCATTTCCATTAAAATGATTCGTCACGTCGCCTTATCTCTCTCGATTTCTAATCGTCCATCAACGTAATCAATGAGCTAGCATTTGGCAGCTATCCCTTTCAACGCCACTCGCAAAGCAACTGCACTGTGTGAAAGAGAGAGGGATAGAGAGAGAGAGAGCGAGAGCTCAGACCCATGCGGTCAGACGGTAATTGATTTCGGCTCGCACCCACTCGAGCACCCAGAGCTGCTGGCATAAGCATGTGCTTTGAGAGAGCATCTAGCCACACATCCTGTCGACTGGGCATTATTTATGGCACTGACGCTGCCTTTGTCTATCAGCGTTTGCAGCCAAACATGGCCAACGTGGCTAACGTGGCCAACATGGCCAGGACAGGCGGCTAACCAGCCAACACGCACAGCAACTTGAGCTGAGCTACGACGCGTCGCTGCTCATTAACTTCAAATGGGCAATCAATGGCAGGCAGGCAGTCATGGCTCATGAGTGCTCGAATTAATTCTCTGCGAATGCTGCCCGCCCCACCGACCTTACAGAGCCGAGCCTAAAAGTATGCCCCGGAATAAATCGCGCTTTTGGTATTTTCATAAAACACATTTATTGCTATTTTACATTTGAATTGCTGAATTTGCACTTCGTAAGTTCGTTGAGGTGTACTGAAGTGAAAATATTGAAACTCGCTAACACGCAGACGTAATTCATACACATATATATATGCGGTAATATCTTCTGATGCTCGTATGTATGTATAGGTACTACAATTATTTAGTTGATTTGGAAATTCATTGTTTGCGACACTCGAACTTCGCATCTTAAGCGCGAGTCACACAGAAACGTGAACCAGCTCTACTTAAATGTAAATTAATTCGCCTGGAAGTTACGACAAAAATCTCGAAACACTAAGCTAACTTGACAAATAGTTTTGACGGACGGTTTGAAACGCGCCAAGGTTTGGTTTTTGGGTTCGCCCCCAAGAAGGAATATATTCTGTTTAAGATCTAAGAGATTTTTCTTTGTTTCCGTTTTCTTTTTTTTTCACTCTGTTTAAATACATTGATTCATACATATATTTAGTTTACTTTCGTAATACTTTGTGGGCTTTTGCGGTTGTTGAAGTTTCAAGTAAACAGTTTTATGCACTTGTCAAATGCAATTTCTAGTTCGACTTGATCTTGCTTACGGCTATAATAAATTGGTTTTCAAATAGATTTGAATCTTTAAAATTGTCGATTATTCTTACTCTTGATTGCGTATATAGTATATATATATAGTAATTATATTTTATACATACATATATATATATAAAAAAAAAGACATTTGTATAAACACTGAAACGCTGCCAGGATAAGTCCAACAATTTACATATAACAATTAGATATTACAATAAAAGACAGATTAATAATACAAATAGAGTTTAGTTGGTTTCACGCATTGAAACCCAATATATATATATGCACATATTCATATACATATGTATATCTCGTTCATCCATGCCAAAGCACAACTTACTTGGAGTAGAATCGTTGACAACCACAGTTTCAGTTTCTTGCACATCACATACATAGTTCTAGGGGTCTAGTCTACTCTACAGCGACTCCGTCTCCATTAGCCCCTCGTTCGTGCCATTGCCCACACGCACATCCCTGTCCCTATCCCTATCCCTATCTCTATCTCTATCTCTCAGCGAACGCAGCTTCATTGACGTCTGCTGACGTCGACTGCCTCAGAGTCGCGGACTCTCCAGTATGGTGTGGCTAGACATCACCGAATTGGCCAGCGCAATCGAATTACCGGCCACGGACAAGTTCGTCTTGTTGTTGGAGCGCCGACGACAGAACCCGAAACGTCCCCCATTGCACAGCCGCATGCCCTTGAAGGTGTCCACAAAGGCGCGCCGGAAGCTGGCGTTCATGAAGCAATAGGTAATCGGATTGCAGCAGCTGGAGGAGTAGGCCAGCAGCTGCAGAAAACTGATCGTCGTGTAGTCAATGTACTCGTACAGCGCCTGACCGATGAACATGCTCAGCGTGTTGATCACATACAGCGGCGTCCAGCAGATGAAGAACTCCAGCACCAGCACGAACAGCATCTTCACCACGCGCTTCTTGCTCTCCAGGCTCTTGCTCTCATTCGATCTGCGGGCAAACGCATCGAAACCTTAGACAGCTGCTGAAGCGCTCTCAAGTGGCTCTCAGTGGCACTCACCTGCGCAGCGTCGCCTCCGTGACGCGCAAGCTGGGCGTGGACAACGACTTACGCCTCTCCCCATCCTTGGCTGAGCTCAGGTACAGCTGCTGCTGCTGCTGCTGCTGCCTCATGGTGGTCATTCGCTGCAGTCGGCCGCAGCATTCGCCGGACACGCTGAGCTGCTGCTGCTGCTGCTGCTGCTGTTGTCGCACCGACTTGACCGAAGCACTGCGCATGCAATAGAGATGCCGTCGGCCGTCGCACGAGCCGAACAGGCGACGCTTGCTCCCGCCGTGATTGTATCCATCAGCTGAAAGTGAACAAAGGTAGATATACATATATATATATTAGCCTTATGTATTCCGTAAAGTAATATAGAGCAGGTCTATAGAGATCAATATGACTCCCGGCTCGAACCATGCTCAAGTAAGTACTAGGATGTGACTAGGGTTTGACTATGATTTGACTAGGGTATATCCATTGCCATTCCCAACATTCTACTCTTCTAAAGAGCGACAGATGGACGGATAGAGTGATGTATGGAGGAATAGAAGGTGGGATAGAAGCCGGAATGAATGGCCGCACGGACGAATGCACGGTAAAGCAATGGACGGCCGTGGCTTGACCGATTCAGCTTGCCATTCAAATACAGCTTACATATACTTGATGTCATCCGGTACGTCTGCTTCTGAACATAACCCAAATTCCCATTGTCGTTGAGTCCTAGAGGTTCCGTAATGCCATGCAAATCATATACTAAATATATGGAACTCCTCCTTTGTGCTTCTGCTGATATTTGCATGCAATTTAAAAACGCTGTACATGCAACAGTGGGGAGAAGTGGGTAGGGAAGGCCAAAAAGAAAGCGAAACAGCAAAGAATAACAAATATGGGCAAGTCAACATGAGGCACAACATTTCGCTGTAGCAAGTCAAAGGCAAAGGCAAAGGCAAAGGCAAAGGCGCTTTTAAATGCGACTCAATGTGGAGTGCTATAAATCATCATTTCTGACATAGCACTCACATAACTGTACATGTGTATGGCATAAAGTCTTCTGTGTGTGTGTGCTCTGAATCCAATGGCTTTGAGCTGAGCGTGTCCGGGGGGAGCGGCTGTGGTGGGGCCGTGTCTAAGTGATTAGATGATTCTCGGAGTTGAGTTTAATGCTAGCAGGGATTGATTCAACTGTTTATAATCACAAGCCAAGAGCTCGCATGTTTGCTAATGGAAACACAGATTTGCATGCGCCAGAACTTAAGTTGAGCATTGACGGGGGGCCTGCACGACCAGCAGATGCCCTGCAATCGCTGCAAGATTTCCTCTTGTCGGCCACCAAGTCTGACACCTGTCAGCCACATGCAAAAGCCTTTGGCGAGAGCCGAGACAGGGTATCCGCAGAGAGATAAGGTTCTGCTGCATGGATGGCAGCTTGGCTGGCCTTGAAGTTGCCTAATGGAAAGTCCAATAAGCGAGCGCTCGCTCCACCTTTGGCTGACAGCCGGCGTGTGTGGCTTATCAACTGCAGCTGGACGGACCCGCATGCACCTGGTCGTCAACTGGGTGGGTGTATGGAATGCGTATGGTTAGCCTGCCGAATAATGCTCGCTGGTTGGTTGTAATTAGCCGATTAGCAGGGTGTTCGTTGGAGCCGTTGAGCCATCGGAGCAGATGCAGCAAACCGTGTTCCCTGTTCCGCATCACCTTTTTGGCATTGTGCGTCCGACTCGTTTATGGCACGTGGCGAATGCTGCCGGCTGCGATGCTGCAGCTCTTTGCACAGCCCGTTATCCGTTAGCCGTTACCCGTTACCCGTTTACGGTTACTGCGCGCCGTGGCACAAAGGCCGTGCCGCAAGCCATGCGCTGGCCAAGCGCTTATGTCCTCTGTGGGACGAACACTGCCTCAAGCTAGGCAAATGGGTGGCAGCTGGGCGGCTCAGCGCGCTTCAGCTGGCTATTGGAGCATCGCGGTGCGCATACATATTGCATCGACGGTGAAAGCTCTTTAAATTTAAGGGGCGAATGGAAAATTGCGTTAAACCCACGGGAAATCTTTCCTGATGCAGTTGCAAAAGTCCCAGAGAATTGTTAGACATTAAATGAGAGAACCAATTGGGAAATCGCTGCAGATGGAGTTGGAAAAATTTCCAAAAAATTCCTGAAGATGAAAGATTCAATTAGAAAATCCTTATCGATGCAGCTGTTTTGCAGCTTCCAAATAATTCCTAGCCAACTAGGATGGAGATGGAAAAGTCCTCAAAAATTCCTTAACTATAAATGTGGGATTCAAATAGAAAATCCTTGCAGATGGAGTTGGAAAATTCCCGAAAAATTCCTGAATTGAAAGATTCAATCAGAAAACCCTTATCTATGCAGCTGCAAAAGTCCTAAATTGGTCTTACCCTTATTCTAGGCAGACCCAAAAGTTTGGTTTCAACTCTTGAGCGACCTCTGAGCAGCTGACTGTCATCATTCTGAGCCCCCCATGTAGACATAATTCAGTTAGCTCACATGGGTTCATCAGTAGTGTAAGCAGATTCGAGTCAAGTCCTCAATATGAGAAACACCCTTTGAGCCTAAGCACTCACAGCTTCATTTCAAAATAATATTCGACAAAGTCGAAAGTCAAATCAAAATTTAATTCTGCTCAAAATATATATATATTTTTTTTTAGGCGAAAATGTGTAACTGGCGCTTCTGTCTGCAGATCTCCCTATTTCTAGTGATTTTGGCATGGGGTAAGTGGAGCGCAACCCATTTGGCGTAGAGCCCCTCACAGATTTCCTGCTTACAGCGTCCATTTGCATTAAGATGTCGTGTGATCAGCTGATGAAGCCGTCTGAAAACGACCGTGAAGCAAAGAGCGCTACAGAGAATAACATGGGTAAGTTTTGGTTCACACGGTTGCACTACACTAAATGGTTCCCGGTGTACGCCGCAGAACCGGACCTGTATCCGTACGACCTGCTGGCCGGCAATCAGGAGGAGGATCGCGTCTTCGACAATGGCTACAGCCTTCGGCTGCTGCACCTGATCTACCGCACCGTCATGCACAGCACCAACGACCGCCGCCGCCAGGGGGAGTTCGAGAGGCGTGTGGCTAACGCACACAAGTTTGCGGCACTGGCTGCGGCAGCTGCTAAAGATCGGATGGCGGCGGGCCTACGTCGGATCAGTGCCGGCGATGACGAGATGCCCATCAATATGCGGCGCACTATAGATGCCCCAGGTGAGAGCCGGTAGTAGCCAAAAACACCCGCAGCTCACAAATCTCTCTCTCTCTCTCTCTCTTTGTTCAACAGAGTTGGCAGCAGCCGACGACTACAACTTGGTGCACATTACGGAGCCCTGTAAGGCGTCCAAGTCAAATGGAGACTCTTGATTTGCATTTCTCCATAGTTATGTTTATATATTTTGTTTTAGCTTCAATAAAGGCAGCCAAGGCTGAGCGTTAAGATTGAAATGCCGGCAAAGTATTTTTAGAATTTACAAACGGAAATTGCCAAAGGCTGTAAAAAGTTCGCCAGTGTAATTCCTAATGGAACATGTGCAGCTCAGTCCACTTGACTGCTTAATGCTCGCTCATTGGGATAGGAAGTCAATGAGTGAGGAGCCCAGCATGTCTCTACAGTGATATAAACAGAGAAAAGACTTCTGGCTGAATACGTTCTATATGATCTTTTTATAGAATGTCCGTCTGATCGTCTGTCCATCCATCTATCTAATGTCTGTAAGTCTGTTCGTCCGTCTGTCTATCTATCTGCCTGTCCGTCCGTCAATCCGTGAGTCTGTCTACCTATCTAATTTACCTATCTAGCTGTCTGCCTATCCGTCTTTCGGTGAGTCTGTTTATTTAGCCACCCGTCAGTCCATCCCTCCGTCTGTCAATCTGTTTGTCCTTCTTTCGCTCCATCTGTTAACTTGTATATCCATCTATATAGCTATCCGTCCGTCAATTCATCTATCAATATGTCCTTCTGATCGTATCTCCGTCAATCCATACGTCCATACGTCTATCAATCCATCTGTCTATCTATTCATTCAGCTGTCCGTCCGTACACCTATCTATCCGTCTATCTATTTAACTGTCCTTCCATCTCTCTCTCCGTCCGTCCATCATTCTGTCTATGCGTCTATACTACAGTCTACCGAACAATTTCGTCGCTACTGACGACAGACTTCCTTCCAAGAACTAGCCCAAAATCGTTTGTCCACGCTCACTGAAGGCGTGTCACATCAGGTAAAGCTGTTTAGGAGCTGGAGTTAAGATACGGGACAGTTAAAGTGCTGTCTCCTTCCTCACTCCCTTTTTCACGCAGCGTGAATGAGTATTATTCAGTTGGCAACGCCCGGCTGACTTGTTCATTAAGCGCAAGAGCTTACAAAGTTGAGAAACAGATTAAGAATTCATCTTTTCCCATTGCCAATGAATAATATATATCTAACTTGCGCAGCTAAGTCTTCGTGGGTAATTAAAACACGCCAAAAATTTTGAGCTCTCCATTGCATATGACGAACGTGAGATACTCCTCAGTAAGAGAGCAACTGCATGTGTGAGAAATGAGCTAGAGCTCAGCCGGAGCTCAGCTGGAAATGCGACTAAATTGTGGCTACCCGTTGCAGGGCTTTAATGAGCGGCGCAGCAACGGCAAATATTACGAGTTTAGGGCTCTAATTATATTAGACTTGGTTATGCAAATTACGTACGAGCGCACCAAAGCCCTGCGTTGAGTGTAATAAAACATTTGCGCCACCTCCTCCGGCCGGGACTCGACCTGGGTAGGACTCCAGTGGCTTGGCTGTCAGTTCTGCCTTCCAAATTTATGACACAAAAATGTTAAGTGCTGGCCGTAAATTGGATAGGTTTAAAAAGTAAAAAACAAAATAAACTTTAATAAAAATATATCATCAACTGGCGAGGCATTTGTCGCTCTCTTTCTCTCTCTCTCTCTCTCTCTCTCTCTGTTCAAGGTGCTCTTTGCGGTCATGTGTGCGTCATGTGAGAATGTGTCACCATGTGCCGGGTATAGCCAGCAATCTGGTCGCACTAATTTGCACTGGGACTTTTGGGTCGATAAAGGAGATAACGGGGCATTTAACGAGCGTTTAAATGCTCGACCCCAGCATAAATTACGATATTTGCTTTGGCCCTTTCGTCCGTTTCGAAGCCCGTTTAAAATGCGGAAACGGAAATGGAACTGCGACTTCAAACTTGACAGCGGCATCCTTTTACGGCCACAGCCCGTCCCTGATAATTCATTAACTTGGGCCTCAGCTCCACTCCCGCAGCGTAGCGCAGCGCAACTTTATGCTAATATGCGATTTCTGTTTACCTCACTTAAAGAGCAGCCGAGAGCAGAGCTGTATTTGGGGCGGGGCATACTTTCGGGCGCCCGCTGAAAAAGAACTAAGCGCATTACATTTTATTGGCACACACACACACGCATATAACTAAGCAAACCTCTAATTAACGCGAATAATGTTGACTGAGACGTACCGAGGGACTGAGTCGAGTCGAGAGCCTGACGAACTATGAAATGTTTTAGGTTTATGAGCCCACTCAAAGTAGGCTTTAAATCTTAATTGATTGACAGCTAACAAGAGACTCAGACTGAGAGAGAGAGAGAGAGAGAGAGAGAGAGAGAGAGAGAGAGAGAG